CAGAAAACGCGAGAATGCTCCATATATAATTGTGACAATCACTATGGCTATAGTGATAAATATATATAACGAGCGCTTTGATCTCAAGAAATCTTTAGCAGAAAGATTTTGGATTGAAACTGTGGTTGCGTTAGTATCGCTCATGAGATCTTAGCTTTATTCTATAGCGCTCGCAGTGGGAAGGTATATTCAATAATTATGCTCCGTTTACGTAAACCAGAACATTTTTATTTTAAGTACAGTTGGTGTGTGTGTCTGTGTGTATGTGTGTTATTTCATTATTGAGGCTCCCTTCCAGGGCCGGATCCTGGGAGGTCGTTTCGACCTTTGGAAGGTCCCGCGTAATGCGGGTTTCTTCGGTGAGCCGACGTGGGCTCGGAACTTCCCCGGCCGTGCTTGCTTGCGTGGGGACCCTGGTTGTCGGACGCGTGGATCCGGGTTTTTGGGCGTCGTCGGGATCCTGACGACGCCTGGTGCTAGAGTCGACTTTCTGGGCGACGTCTGTGTGGCTTGGTGAACCTGGGCCTTGGACGACACCTTCTCTAATGGAGATAGGTACCGGGGTGAGAGCGGTCGGCGGGCTCTCACGTCCCACGTCGTGAGCCTCTCCAGTGGTGGCCGGGTGCACCTAACTGGAGCGAGGCACAAGGGCGTCAGTCTCCATGGGAGTAGTGTTGCCGCTTCCTCTCTTCCTGGGTCCTCGTTTGGTATTAATGCGGGCCGCCTGGGCGATACCCTGGTGCGCAGTCGCTTCCGTGGAGACGGTGTGCGGGATATGCGAGTCGGAGACGGCGTCGTCGGCAGGGAGGACCAGGAGGAAACCGGAGAGCCGAGCTCGAGTCCTACAGGTTCCTCGTCAGTATAGTCATCGCTGTCGCTCCAGAACAATGCGTGATATTGTTCGCGGAGTCGTGAGCGGGCGGTCTCTCTAGCCTCACCCTGAGGCTGTTTCTTCTCGGGCTTCAGGGTGCTGCCCTAGGATTCTTAAGGTGTGCGAGTTGTCTCCTGAGAGGAGAATTGGCTCTTTATTGCTTTTGATCTCGTAGATCGTTCCTCTGTGGAGGTTGAGAGCGGAGTCTGTTCTTCCGGCGTTTCCTCCCGCTATTTATACTTCAGACCTTTAATTGTGTGGAGTATTGGTGCTTTACATTTCCGCGAAAATCGCGAGGCTCGCGATTCCTCGAATTTATTTAGGTCCCGTGGCTTCTACGAATTCGTCGCGGGCTTGCACTCACCGTTGCCCCTCTTCTGAATCTCGAGGCTCGCGATTCCCCGAATTCGTGCAGGTCCGCGCTTCCGCGAATTCTCGCGGGCTCGCATTGACCACTGCCCCTCTTCTAAAGTCTCGAGGCTCGCGATTCTCCGAATTTCGTGCCGGTCCGCGCTTCCGCGAATTCTCGCGGGCTCGAGCTTATCGCACTCCGCCGCGTTTCTCGGAAACGCGTCGCGAGCCTCGCGGTTCTTGGAAAGGACAGTGCGTAAGGTGCGCTCCGTAAGCGTCCCTTTAACTGGGAGCGATGCACCTTGCGTGGCGTCTCGTTCTCTGAGACGCCACAAAACAATTCCTTGATATGAAAAATAAGAGGAAATTTTATTTTGAGCGAATGTAATTAAAAAAGAGATGAATAAAAATGTGTGTATGTGTGTGTGCGAATTTTTATCTACACAGCATTCTCTCCCCCCAACCACATCGCAAATGTTTTTTACAATATTCGAAATACTTGTTCTTCTCCAAAATTCGTACGTCATAATTACACACAAATAAATGCTATCAATATTTATTCTCAATATTACTTCAAGACTAATCTAACCTAAATTAATTTTTTTTTACGATGACAACTAAAAGTATAACCTTTCTGATGGTATATAATATGTTTAGATATTCATAAATACTACTATAAAACTATATCAGTCACAACATTTTTGAAAAACCTATCAAAGCTTTTGCATTCGTCTATTTGAACCCTAAAGTCTAATCTACAATGTGCTTCCTGTTTCTTAATCACTATCGTTTTTTGGCTAAAATTCAAAGATTTAAGTCAGAAAAAGATAAAGAAAAAATACAGGAAACAAAGACCAAATTGTAGATCTGGGTTAAATGTATTTGGATGTGTCTGGTTAACCCCAAACGCATGCAATTCTCTCTTTTTGCTTCCATTTCTATGATATCGAATATACGAAATGTTTCTGAAAACATAAGCTAACCGCATGCTATATGTAAACCAATTCACTATGTAGACCTCCCAACGTATATAATGCGAAATAATAGTACTAACAATAGTACTAATAATAGTACTTTACTGAGGTTAATTCTAATCGAATCTTTTGTTCACACACGATTATTAACTTTGAGACCACCAATGATGCAAAATAGTATGCGCTATTTCAATAGTGAGAAATTAATGTATACGATAATTGCAATGATCTAGGACAGAAAAGTAATATCTAAATATCGTACCGATGTTTGCGAGTTATTTTTGATTACTCAGAAGATCATACGTTTATAACAAATCTCGACTCCTAATTCGGCTTTTATACGTAGGCGATTATTATTATTTCATGCGGATATTATTTTATTCGGCTATAATTAAGTTAGGAGACACAAAGAAAACAAGAAAACAAGAAATTTTACTTATTATGTATCTAATAAAATAACTAACGTAACACACAAAAAAAACTAATATTTTTTAAAATATTAGTTATTAGTATTATATATATATATATATAATATTATATTAATATTAGTAAATATGTATAACATAATTAAGATAAAAAAATCAATGAAACACATTTCCGTTCTTTTTCTTGTCACATAGTTTGAAGCACAGAACAAAGAAAAATTATATTTTCTTTAAAAGAAATTATTATGTAAGAATAGTTAAAAAATTGTTGTCTAATGCTAATCAATGTGTAAAAGGTTACACAATTTAGCGTAATAATAACATTCTCTAATAGCAAAAGTGCATCCTTCTATTCTTCAAGAGTACATCCTTCTATTTCACTCCATGTCTATATGTATAAACAATTAACAAAAATATTTAACATAGATATCTTTGACTGGTCAGAGACCCGTTACTTTTATTAATAATTTGTATAGACTTAAGTTCTTATGTTTTAATTTCCTTTGTCCTTCCTTTACTTTCCTCCCTCCCTCTTTCCCTCTTTCTTCCCTCCCCCTCTCTCTCTCTTTCTTTCTCACTCTTCCTACCTATATCTCCCATATTCCCTTTCTTACACTTTCTTCTTCTCTTCCACTCTCTTTCCCATTCTCTTTTTTCATACTTTCTCTCCACCATAATTCCAACGTTCGATTAATTGCATATTACCTCTGCTACCCGTATCCTTTGATGCTGCACGTGCAAGAGACGTATGCACGTAGAAAGGGTTCGTCCGCATTACATATATCGCGCTTCTTCAAGAGTATACGTTTTCATACCCATTGAACTATTGTATATATAAAAAAATACATATAGAGGATCATATTTTGTTTTATCTTGCTTTTTTTCTCGTCTTGTATGTATGCAAACAATATTCTGTTGTCGCTTTAACTTTTATTTATTTTATTTTCTGAGTGAGAGAAAGAGGGTGAGAATTTTGTCATGTTTTCAAATTGTTATTTCTTTTTAATGATAAATATCGATTCGGTGATTTTTTCTCATAGTTAAGAATGCATGACTTTTAAAGTTCGAGATATTGAGAGACGCGTGTTTCGGTATTATGTTTCCGCGAGTGATCATTATTTTCGTATATAGTTTTGCAAACGCCACGCACGTGCTAGCTACACTAAATCTTTAATTAGTTAATGGATGCTAGATGAGTGTCGGTAGTCAGTAACGCCGATATCGTTACCGGAATTGATTAATTCTCTGATTTTCTGATTATAACTTGGGTAACATGTTTTGTGTGTGTGTATGTGTGTGTATGTTATACATGTTAATAAATGCCAAAGATATTAATCTCACTGTTGTATTGCATGTGATTACATCTTGCTTTCTCGATGAGTTTATCGCTTATCACAAATCGATATGTAAAAGACATTAATTTCAATAGCCAGGTTTACGAGCTGATCCTTGATTAACTTCACATGCGGGCGAATATGCTATGCGGAGATTGAATATAAAAGGTTTAATACAAGCTCTATGAGCTCAATTAATGAAATATGAGATGTCAAGCGGGGAGGGAGAGAGGACGGAGGGGGCTACCAGGAGGAGTGATGCGAATGCACTACCCTTTCTCGTGAATTTCTTCTTTAAGCAGAGTGAAATTGATATCTAGACGAAATTTAAGTCCTGCGAGGAAAAGCATGTAACGAGGAAGAGCATGTAATTATTAAACCAATATTGTTAGTAAATTATTAGTTAATTCGGTCGAATGGTCAGCCGTTGGATGCAATCTCGAGCATATGTGATCGCTGCACATGTAATTGTCAAACCACGTTTTCTGTAAACATGAATTACTATTGGCGAGAACAATATATATAATATTATTACGCTTCGATACGCCTGTACGAGTGTGCTTGTCGATCACAATATCTGCAGCACTCCTGACATTCATGTCCACGAATAAATGAATAAATACTAATTAAGAATTTAAACAATATTAAATTGACAACAATAGAAGCAATCTCGCGATTGATTTTTTCAAGACTCGTTCGATCTTTACACGTCACGATTGTTATACGTTTGTCCGCATATAATTGTCTTTTAATCGGTTATATAATTGTATTTTTATCGGTTTTATATTACGTAGCAGATTCGTGCAATTCTTCTATTTTTCTTTTCGTATTGATTTTCTCATGTCAATCTCTTGACATGAGTGTAAGAACATCTTATCGATATCAATCGATATCAACTCAGTGTGATCTCTCGACGCACGGTAATATAATACGATAATGAAACATTAATTTCTGAGACGCATGTGAGAGTGACTTGATGGTATTTCACATTCGTATGAAAAACGAAAACAGGTTATCGTATCTATATCCAATAAAGTTTATACATTCAATACTAAATTAATTAATAATTATGCTCTGCATTCGTCCGAGTAGAAAATGTATGTTCCCTTCCAACAAACATCTTTAAAGCTTGCGTTATAAAAACTCATAACAATTAGCGTTGCATTACCGCGTGTGTATGGCGCATCTTTATTATGTCGCTTGTTCTCCCAATTGAAGCATCATGCCTGCGTGTGCTCTTCATTTTTCGAGAAAAATAAACATTCTCATTCAAATCTTGAAAACGTTCTCAGGAGCGTTCTCGTGAACGTTCTTGCGAGGACAGCTACGAGTATAGACCTCCGAGGTCAAAACTCTCACGTGTTCGCATGGAGACTTTGATATGAGGTTTCGAGAGATCGTTCCACAGATCGTTCTCGCTTGTCGGACCATCAAACTGCAGCTACTATAAAGGGAAAACTAGACAGGTTGTTGGACATTCTGACACGGTCAGACATGGTTCATTTGAGACGATAGGAGATGCTTCGTGATGAGTCTGACTCCAATGAGTTGCGAGACGCCGAAGCGAGCAGAGACCCACCTGTTGAGGTTATGGAGACTTCCGAGTAATTTTGTTATATATTGTATGTCAGGACTACGAACCATTACCTCGAATTTGGTCTTGTCCAACAACCATTTAGTGGTCGCAAGGCTGTTTATAGAGACAAGCCGGAAAATTAACATACTTGATTTTTGGACGAAGAACCATCACCGTGAATTTAGTCACGTCTAGTGACCATTGATTGGTTGTAAAGCTGTCCGTAGAGACAAGCTTTGAATTTTTTGACATAATTTTTTCCCTAGACTACGAACTTCGAGTTTGGTCTTGTCCAATGATCATTCAATAGTCGCGAGGCTGTCCGTATAGGTATGCCCGGAGATATTTACATTATCTGGAGCTCCACAACCTGTCATTTAACAAGATTTTATTTTCTTTCAAAGGAATTACATGAAGATGAATCCGAAGTATCACCTATTTCAGTGAATCGTTCCATAACATTAACTGCAGAACCCGCGGATGCAGAGCACGACATCGCTGCATTCAAAATGGATTTGATGGGCGTTAACACCGATGATGCGGTTACGGGTCCGCTTGTTCACGATCTAGTTACTAAAACTTGGACTCCTATACTTACTAGCGGTTTGTCAAAAGAAACTAAACTGGTGTTAAAAAAGAAGTATCCAATTCCGCAAAATTTACCATTTACCCTCGTGCTTAACTTAGATGTATGACAGGCTACTTCATTAACGTCAGTTAAGAGAGACGAATATCAATTTGTAACTCAAGGTAGAAGCAGCGATTGCTGCACAAGCTACCTTATGTCAAAGCTTATGTTGAAGCCAAAGGATATATGTTATTTATGTATCTATTATGTATCTATAATAGCAAGCCTACCGTCTATGCTCACTTCTATCCAAATGGATTGGAGCGAATTTTATTTTTACGCTTTTCTGCCTTTTGCATTTTATTTTTGACAGACGTTGTTGACGACAAACTGTCTTATAAGTATACTAACTGTATAGTAACTGTCTTATAAGTTAACTGTATAGTCTTATATAAACCAAAATTATATTCCTTGTTCAAAAAGACATATATCGCTTATTTGCTGCAACAATGCTGCAACATAACTAAAAAATTATGATTTTTCAGAAGACACGATTTAATGTTTTGAATTGCTATAACTTTGTATGAAAATTTTAAAATTTCATATTAACATAATTTAGTAAAGTAACATCGTAAGTAATCGTCGTTTTAGCTGTAAATAGTACATGTATAATAGTACATGTATCAACCTTTCTCCCTGTACTAATAACTCAATGAGGACGATTCTTTAGTTGTCATTGTTGCAGCAAATGAGCGATATATATAAATATTTTCTGCCAGTGTTTGCGGGAAATTAAAAACATTTGTCAATCGCCAGCTTTAAACAGCTACATTTTCGGACGAATGCATTTACTCGGACAAATGCAGAGCATAATTATGTAATCAATCGCACTCTTGAGTGAAGTTTAATCATAATTATGCGAATGCTTCGTCCGAGTAGATTCAATCTCCCTTTACTCAAAAGGATACTTTATATCCTGGTTTCTTCCCACATTTCTTTCGATTTATGATGTGCTTTAAATTATGAAGAAGCGCCACGCACACGCGGCAATGCAACGCGGCAATTACTAGTTTTGTAAACTTTTCAGATCATCATTCTCAAACTTTACGAGAGCGCAAAACGGATTGAGATGAGCAAGAAAGTATCATATCGTTTTGTGATATTTGCAAAAGTTTCCCAGAAATTAATTTTAGAAAATTACGTGAAGAAAAGAAGAACGCTCGAGCCGCTGAAGTTGCTCGAAGCCTAACGGTTCAATTGGTCAAGAAACGCATGGCAGCACATAGCGAGGGAAACAACAACACGCCACTATCTATGTTTATATCGCTGCTCTGTCTCGTCGCACCGTGTCGAGGCGAGGTATATTAATCACTTTTAAGAAAATATTATAAAGTAAAATTTTCTTATAAATTATAAAAATATATAATACTGTTGCGCCCGCGTTACCGGAGATGCAACAATACTCAATGATACCGATATAGGGAGACAAGCGAAGAGGTTGAACGGGGAGTAACAACAGTTGACGAGGAGTAAACAATAGCTGACAAAGTTGACAGCGGGTCGTAGTCACGAGCGGACGTGTTACGATTATATTGAGACTGAGTAAACTCTAAACTCGTATTTCGCTGTACATAGTAAAGCTTCTCGTTCTTTTATAATTGTGTTCGTTCATTTCCTCTGTGCGCGATCGCGAATACAAGCGCGAGCGCAACAATACAATTAAAGTCCTAAATGTTTAAGTAATTTCCAACAAAATCAATTTGGTATGTACTTGGTTTAACATAAACATTATTAATTAATTAATTTACTTATTTTCACGATGACATTACTTGGTCACTAATTGGGACATTTATCTTATATGAGAAAATCAAAAACATTTACACATAAATGAATAAAGCGATTTATACAGGGTTGGGAAGTAACTAGTTAAAAAGTTAAAAGTTAAGTTAAACAGTTAAAAAGTTAAATGGCTTTAACTTAACTTAGTTACATTTTTATGCTCTTAACTTTTAACTTAACATAGTTACATTTTATCGGTAACTATTAACTTTTAATTCAATTATCTTGAAGTTAATCATGCTATAAAGATGTCGCGAGACGTCGAAAGGCTGTTCAGTGCAGGAGAGCTCATTTTTTACAATCTTCGAGGAAAAATGTCCAATAAAAAAGACCCCGCACTAATCATATGAAAAAAGTGGTTTCAGTCAAATTGACTGAAACTATGATATTTTATAGTTTATGAGGTGCTGATAAAAAAATCTTCAACAAAAAGTGTGAGAAAATGGACAGTTTTTTTCTAGCACCATTAGAAAGTTGTTATTTTAGGTCTAACCAAACCTTTATTTACAGTACATAGATTGCTTTTTTAATTGTATAGGCATTTATATGTAACCATACGTGTATCCATTATTGAATAGATTCATGACTCAGTGTATGTATGTGGTGCGGTAGGGGGAGGGGTAATATGGGTGTCATTGGTATGTGTGTATTTGTATCGATAGTTATTCTATTAGTATATCTGACATTATTACGTCCAAAAAATGTGTGTGTGTGCGTGCATACGTGTATGTGTGTGTGTATAACCTAACCTAATCCGCCCAACAGACACACACACACAATTTTTTAGATGTAATAATATCAGGCATACTAATAGAATAACTATCGATAGAAATACACAGATACCAATACATATCCATATTGCATGCCCTCCTTCCCGCACCACATACATACAATGAGACATAAATCTATTCAATAATGGACACACATGGTTATGTATAAATATCTATACAGTTAAAAAAGTAATTTATGTACTGTAGATAAAGGTTCAGTTAGACCTAAAATAGCAATTTTCTAATGGCACTAGAAAAAAAAAACTGTTTTTTCACACTTTTTGTTGAAGATATTTGTTCAGCATCTCATAAGTTACAAAATATCATAGTTTCAGTCAATTCGACTGAAACCACTTTTTTCATATGATTAGTACCGGGTCCTTTCGAAAAAACTTTATTACTTAAATTTAATAAGTATCTGTAAATAAAACATGTTTCCAAGCAAGGTGTATATTTGTTTTCTCCGTTATTTATAAAACTGAAACCCTAAAGTCATAGAATGAAACAAATTTAACTTTTAACTTTTTAATTATTTTTTTTTATTAACTTAATTTTTAATTAAATTAATTTCATTATGGGTTAACTTTATCTTAACTAAATTAAAATAGAAGGAGGAGGGCACACTAGGTGGCGGCGAGACGCCGTGCGTTCGAGATCTGCGTATCTTTTCGTTCTAGAGAGAGAAAAATAATAGAGAGCGCGGTCCTGCTAGGCCAGGACTCAAACCCGGGTCTTTCGCTTGCCGGGCGACTGTTCTAAACCACTGAGCTACCTGACGCCCCACGCTCACGACACTCTCCTCTCCCTAGATAACACTCAGAGATGCCGTTCGGAAGCGACATCTCTGGCGCGATCCCAAGCGCACGGCGACTACAGAGAGAAACAATGTTACTGTACCAAATGGTGCAGCTGTCAGTCTCTCAAAGTCATTTCAAAGCCATTAACTTTAACTTAATTAATTTAATTTAACTTAGTTAAAAAAAAAGTTAACTTACCCAACCCTGGATTTATATACATAAATAAATCTGCTTGAGATTTGTTATCGTTGTCAATATTCGCTCACGTTTCACTATTCAAACGCAGAGATTTTCCAAATATCCCAATGGCGAAAGGGGTAGACGAAGCGACGACAAAAATTGGGGATGCAATGCCTTAGGGATACGGCGGCAGTCCAACAATAGGGGCGACTTAGCGGAGTGCCGCGAGAGATTCACACGCGCGTTGAAGGCGACAGCGCACGATGCGCATTTGCTTCTCATTTACGACTTATTACGAATTAGAATCCATGCTTCGTTTGTTATCAGCGAATTGTGTCATATGCAAGGGTATATAATACTGTCAAACAAGCATGTTATTAAAAAAATTAGAAATATTGATTTACCAACATTTTGTCTGCACTTTAATAGAGTTCCGATCAAATTGTAATATGTTCAGAGAATATCGTGATTACTCGAGAACTAGGACTGTTGAAAATTAATGAAGAAAACTCGCAGATGCATAACAGACAGTAAAATCATGGAAATGAGCAAAAAAATTAAGCTTTCGCTCGAACTTCAAGACAATAACTGCGTGTGTGGTGTCGAGTTTTGTTGTATCGACGATTTTGGTTTTTGTATTCATCAGATTTTTGTATTCATCAAATTTTTCCAAGTTCAATTGAAGTTTTGTGGAAAATCCGCCGAACCTACATACTTTCGTGCATTTAAATAATATCATTGTTCTGATTTCAACGAATATCTCAAGCTGTTGAGTACCTATATCAATAAACAAATGAAAAAAAGTATACCTGAATATTAAAAAGATATTGTACTATGGAGCAAAAGTGATTAGCTGTCGTGAGGATAATTCGAATTTCGATTGTGTTTAGAAGACTACAAATTAATAATAATAATCGACCATAGCAACAAATGCTAGCTGCATAGTTAAAGCCATCCCTCGGAAAAGCTTGTATTGATTATTACGATATCAT